ACTTCTGCCTCCCAGGTTCAAGTGATTCTCCTATCTCAGCGTCCTGAATAGCTTGGATTACAGGCACCCAGCACCACTCCCAGCTAAGTTTTTGTGATTTTAGTAAAGACAGGGTTTCACCATGTTGGTCAGGCTGGTCTCAAACTTCTGACCTCAAGTGATCCGCCCACCTCGGCCTCCCAAAGTGCTGGGATTACAGGGGTAAACCACCGTGCCTGGCCAACATTTTTTCTCTTTGTTTCATACTGAATCTGATGGTTAAGAGTATTTTGGTTTTGACTTTTTTTTCCCTCTTCATTATTAATTTACTTGAGTGTAAATGATAACACACTCCTGGGTTCAAGTGATTCTCCTGCCTCAGCCTCCCGAGTAGCTGGGATTACAGGCATGCACCACCACACCCAGCTAATTTTTTTTTTTTTTTCTTTTTGTATTTTCAGTAGAGACAGGGTTTCACCGTGTTGGCCAGGCTGGTCTCAAATCCTTACTTCAGGTGATCCGCTGCCTTAGCCTCCCAAAATGCAGGGATTACCAGCATGAGCCACCATGACTGACACTCATCAGATTTATACCACCCCAGGCTTCACCTACTCCAAAAGGGTCACTGACATTACACCTGCCAATAATTCCTGAATGATAACACTGCAGCAGAATTGGGGTTAACATTCACACCAAACATTACATTTTCACATTGCAGCATCCAAAAATACGTTATTAGCTCCTAAGTCAGTTAAACTAAAGATCTAGGAAAGCATGGATTCCCTAGACACCTGCTAGCACTTCTTAGCAAAGTGACCTAGCTCCTTTATGCCGTCATTACTTTGTCCCATTTGGTAGCTACTAGCTGCATGTGGTTATCGAGCACTAGAAATTTAGAGTCTGAATTGAGATGTGCTGTGAATGTAAAACACAAACCAGATTTCAAGGACATCCTATGAAATAAAGAATGAAAAGTATCTCAATTTTTACTTTAACAAATGTTGAAAAGGTACTGTGAACATACTGAGTTAATTCGTTTCAAGTTAAAATTCTTTTGACCTGTTTCCTTTAACTTGTTAAAATGTAGTTAACGTGAAATTTAAAATTCCTCACATGGCTTTTATTTGTGGCTTACATTGTATTTTTATGGAACAGAGCTGCACTATAGTCACTAGTTTGCAGTGTCACTTGCCTGGGGTTACAGAAGAGAAGATTAAAATTAAGTGTGGTGTCCTTCCAAGTACCGTCTGGGCTTCTGCTTTCATCTTGAGCTGAGGTCATGAAGCTGCTTGCTTGTGCTTGCTTTACTGGCTGTTTGTTTCCCTTGAGTGGTTTGTTTCACGAGAATTTTTTTTTTTTTTTTTTTTTTTTTTTTTTTTTTTTTTTTCTGAGATGGGATCTGTCACTCTGTCACCCAGGTTGGAATGCAGCAGGAACCAACCTCCACTTCCGGGTTTAAGCGATCCTCCCACCTCAGCCCCCAGAGTAGCTGGGCCCACAGGCGCCCGCCACCACACCTGGCTGATTTTTCATAATTTTGGCAGAGACTGGGTTTCGCCACGTTGGCCAGGCTGATCCCCAACTCCTAAGCTCAAGCAGTCCACCTGCCTCAGCCTCCCAAAGCGCTGGGGGAATGGGCGTGACCTTCTGCCCCAACCCCCAAAAACAAGGAATTAACTGTCTCTTGAGCCACTTTCCCCTCAGTTTTATCTCACCGATCAGCTGTCTTCCAATTCAACAGGGGAAAAAACCTGTGCCGTCCATATTCCAATTGTAATATTCAGCATGTTATTTTCTGCAGAGTCTTTGCTATCTTCAAACCAGGTTGGATCAGCATCAGATTCTCCTCAGAACTCCCTCCTGGAACATTTGGCCATGTTAAGTCTCAAAGGATCTGAAAGCCTGGTCAGCTTCTGTCCACCGCTGCTGAGATTTGGGGTTCAAGTTGTCATACAGACGCTCCGGACACCCATGGGCTTTAACTTAACATTATGTTCACTCAGCGTCCTACAGGGACGCGACGCAGGAAACCCATCAGGCCTCTAGCATCTGCCTCACACAGGAGACTCAGCAGGTTCTCAAGAGCACAGCTTCTTTTGCCACTCATCACACAGAACACATAGGTACAGCTGCTGTGGACAAAAGTCAGGGTGTATATGATCATCTTCACGCAGAGAATCACAGCCTTTGTTCCAAACCACGCTTGTATACAATCCAGTCACATGGGCCAATGCACAGCTCCCCAGCGCAGGTGCAGCCCCTCACAGTCAATGAGGCCGACTCCAATTCCCCCTGTAGCCTAACTCTATTGTTTTCAGAGGAATGACGCTTAGGAAATCAGTGGTCATTCTCCACACTCCTGTAACAGCCAAGGCTGGATGTTAACTCTTTACTCACACTCAGCTATATAGAGACATACAAATGAGAAAAATTCAGTTGCTCACAAATATGTTAATTTTAGGTAGATCATCTCTATTTTGAGATGAGCAGCTAGGGTCTCTAAAGTTTTAAAATAAGTTATTGGCAGGGCACAGTGGCTCACACCTGCAATCTCAGCACTTTGGGAGGCCGAGGCAGATGGATCACCTGAGGTCAGGAGTTCAAGACCAGCCTGACCAACATGGAGAAACCCCAACTGTACTAAAAATACAAAATTAGCCAGGCATGGTGGCACATGCCTGCAATCCCAGCTACTCAGGAGACTGAGGCAGGAGAATCGCTTAAACCTACGAGGTGGAGGTTGCCGTGAGTAGAGATTGCACCATTGCACTCTAGCCTGGGCATCAAGAGTGAAACTCCATCTTAAAAATAAATAAATAAATACATTTATAAGTTATTCAGAACAGATCATTAGAAAGGTAATCAACGAATTCTGCTTTACTAAGCACATCAGCTAGAATCCTGAAATCTGAGCATTTCGACAATGAATTTCTCAAGTTCTTCAACTAACATGTTAACACCTCATTGTAAATAGTAAGAAGTTATCGTTTGTCTTAATTTGAGATAGATTTTTTTAACACAGTTTGATATAATTTCAGAGCCTATTTTATACTTCAACATTCAGCTGATTTGTACACAAAATAGTGCAAATTACCTGGGTAACCTACATTTTCCTTTAGAAATGCAAACGCCAGCATGATTTTCGAAGTTATAAGGATGCTATTCTAGCACTTACATAACAACAATTTAATCCCAATTTGTAATATATAGAAAACTTTAAGGCAAATAATAAATCTGCCTTAAAAGTTCCATGGAAGCCAAAGCAATGGTAGTCTAAATGAACATGCTTATTTCAGAATACTGGAAAATCCATTTTCAATTTTTGCAAGATTATAACAGTAGTCTCAGGTAGGTTGGGTTGTCAGTTTTTCTTTCAAACGTGTGTCCTCAAAATTCAATTGCTTATATATCTTACAAAGGAAATATTTTCCAATAATAATATACTTTTGTTTTTCAGGTGGAATTACATTACTTTCATAATTCCCAAAAAATCACTGTTTTACACCTTATTGCATCAACTGTGGTCATCTTCTCATTTTAGAATTCATAATAACTTCTATATTTTCACTTTCAATTTTTATAATATATTATTCATAGAGCAGCTACTTTCACAGAACCAACATAATTTTCTTTTCTTCTTCTTCTTCTTCTTTATTTATTTATTTATTTATTTTTTGAGACAGAGTCTGGCTCTGTGGCTCAGGCTGTAGTGCAGTGGCCTGATTTCGGCTCACTGCAGCCTCTGCCTCCTGGGTTCTCTGCTTAAGTCTCCTGAGTAGCTGGGATTACAGGTGTGCACCACCACACCCAGCTAATTTTTATATGTTTAGTAGAGATGTGGTTCCACCCTGTTGGCCAGGATGGTCTCCATCTCCTGACTTCGTGATCCACCCACCTCCACCTCCCAAAGTGCTGGTATTACAGGCGTCAGTCAGCATGCCCAGCCCATAATTTTCAAGACTTCAAGCCAATTATTTTATCTTTTATATTATTATGGAAAGGTGTTATTATAGGAGAGATATAACAACTTCATTAAATATTTTCTTGTCATTTAGACCTTCACTTTTAGTACCTTACTCATTGGTAGCCAACTACCATTACATTCTAAATAAATGTATTAAAGTAAATTATTCCTTAATAATTTGCATTATAAGTTATTAAATATTATATTTCATAAGCATATTGCATTTATCATATATTATTAAACAATTTTCCTTTAAATTTTCCTTTAAATCTTTTCTTTTACAAATATGGAAAATTGTCTTCAATTTGCCCCATTTAAAAGAAATGATACTTTTGAGAATAACATAGCAATAATAAATTTATGAAAATTTTATGTCCTTAACATGAAATAAACTTCTGCCAAATTTCATTCACAATTTCAAGCAAACCTATGTGCCTGAAAAGTAGTTGTGTGTAAACTAGAATACATGACTATCTTCTAGGTTTTCCAAAATGGTTAGTGTAAAACAGAAAAATAGCATAAAGGGAGGATAACATAAGCCAGGAAGTATTATTGAACTAGACTGTATTTTCTGAGGAAGTGACTTCGAATTGAAAGAAAAAATTTTAAAAGGTTTGTCTCCATGAGAAAGAAAAATTCAGTCAATAATCCTGGTATGTTCCCCTTTGCCATCACACATTTATTCATTTAAATAAATAATACCAAAAAAATCTAGTTTGTGAACATATATAACACAATATCCCAATGGAATTTTTCCTGTTTTCTTTTAATTTATATATTCAAGCAATATGTAGACAACATCAGAATTTAGTTTTCCCATTAAAATGTATCTTTTGAGATTTCACATTTATTAATGGGCACATCCACATAATGCAGTAGGATAAATAAATAAAACTTCAGTGGGGAACAAAAGCAACTCATCTTTATATGCTTCTGTTATCCTTTCCTTACATTAATGTAAACATTAACCATGATAAAATTGGTTATGATTCTGAGATGCCTGTTACGCATGCTCTATTCTATTATTAAAAGGCCCGCTCACATTTTTCTTTGACAGGATGATGAGGTAAGGGAAAGTCGATTCAGCTTCACAGCCTATGGAATGGGACCATGTCTGCAAGCAAAAGACGGCATGACTCCAAAGGGCCCCAACCACCCTGTCCAGGTAATGCCAAAAAGCCCGGATGAAATGAGGAAGGTCTTTATCGACCGGGCCAAGAAGATTGACACCATCTCCCGAGCCTGCTTCCCATTAGCTTTTTTGATTTTTAATATTTTCTACTGGGTTATCTATAAAATTCTTAGGCATGAAGATATTCATCAGCAGCAAGATTAAGTTTCTGAGGGCAAGCAAGTGGAAATGGTCAATTCAGAAGAAAGTGTCTCTGCCGTAGGTGTGTAGGTGTGTATGTGTACGTGTGGTGTACAATTGATGACCCTGGTATTAAAATGACATATGGAAAAGGTTTGTATTTTGGGTAGCTATGCAAAGTCATGTGACAGATAAGATTATTTTAATAAATATAAAATATTCATTAGGGGATTTTATTTCATATTAATTCCAGATGATTTGTTTTTTCACAGTAAACCATGTAAGTGGAAGCTTGACTGCCAATATGTTTATATGTTACATAATATCTCATAATAGTAAACATGAAAACTACTTTGAAATTTCTTGATTTGTAATTCAATGCTATTTTATCTTACAAAAGCAAACTTCACACAGTAAACTTTATGACAGGAAAAGAGGGAAATTATAAAGATAATAAAAACTAGTAGTTTGAGATTTAAAACTATTTTCTTATAGTATCGTTACAAACTAATCAGTTACGGTGGGAAATTAATTCATATTAATGGAGGATTTATCCAACATATGTACAAATAGTATTTAACCAACATACATAATTTTGAGAATTTTCAAATAAGAGTATTAAAAGACTTTATGTTTGGAATACTAACTTTAATTGTTTAGAATATTAAATTTTCCTCTGTGCAAATTTTAAACAAGTATCATAAGAGATCGTGTTACAGTCATGATCTACTTTTCTTAAACTTTATATCTCTCAGAATGAAGGTGGAAATACAGAAAACAACCATGTTTTTAAATAAGTGTTATAGCTATGTATTTTAAGTTGTTGCCAAATATTGAACAATTCAAGCCAGTACCCTTGTTCTGGTTAGATTTTTAATAGCTACTTAACTATGTGATTGTGTTTAATATTTTGATATAATTGAACAAAATTCAGTGATACTTTTATATTTTAGTTTAGAATGTGACTTTAAAATTCAGTGGGATTAAAGTATTTACATTTTGATAAAAATGAACGCAATGAAAACAAAAATGAATTCATGAAATTTTTTTTAATAAAAACAATTTTCCCATCAGTGTGATATGGCTCCCAACTCCAAATATAAGAACAGAAAGTTTTAATTTTAAATGATATAAGTAAGTCATTTCTATAAAGTGAGGACTGTTTTTCTATTTCTGAATTAATGATTTCAAACAATAAGCCATTCACAAGATTCGAATAAGTTTAAATGAAATTTTTATGTAAAATTTATCAATGACCCTATGGACTACTTCAACAACAAAAGAGCATTAGTAACTTGTTTTTTGCAGTATAATTGGATGCAAATGTATGATAGAGTTCTTGGTAAATAGAACCAGACTCTTACTCTTTTTCAGTTTTGCTATTTTTTAAACTATTTTTACCATCAATGTATTTGGAAACGCTTTGGAATAATGCTTCTTAGGTATTTTCATTATTGATCAGATGCACAAATTCAATCTACCAGATTATTCACAGAGAAAACTTTAAACATTAAGAAAACAAATAACTCAGATGTAAGATAGAGAAGCCAATTCTTACACCAGATGTTATTTTCCACCCTTCAATCACTCTCAAATTAAAAGCAAAAACTACCATTTAAAATTAAAGACTTTACAATGTTAGTGTACATCAGCTTATCCAATTGTAATTTTTAAATGATATTTTTAAACATAATAAATGTTAAGCATTTTTTTCTAGTAGAAGACCAAGTTCCCTTCCTTTATAAGTAACTTAAAACAACACTATAAGGAAATAATATCATGTCTGGCATTATGTGCAAATGCCACAACTAAAATAATGTGTTACTCTGTACGTACCTACTTTGAGGACTGTGCACCTGGAATTTAAACATATGCTCTTCATTTGATGTGTATTTAACAAAACCATGGAAACATATGTTCGTACTGAAGATTAGAGCAAGATATGTCATTAGTATTCCTTGAGAATTAGCAGGAAAGTTCCAAGTATAGATTACACCATCTCAATGTGTCTTTGAAATACCTGAATACGTTTTTCTATACTTTACACATCTTATTTCAAAAGTTTCCCAACATTGGTTAAGCGAATTCTGTCTGCCGGGAGCAAACAGAAAAATAATGAATGCAAACAGGCTTAATTCCAAAAGGAATTCACAAACATCACTTGTTTCCATATTTGAGAATATTAAAAAGGTGTCTTTTTAAACCTGAAACTTGAATGTGAAAATATCAACCGTAAGACAATGTTGTCAACAAGGACAATGGTACATTAGAAATCTATCTCAAAAGTATTATACTTTCCTTAGGCATAGTTTTCCTTTCCTACTATATTTGTCAGTGTCTTACTGCTCTCAGAAAATACTCTAACAGCTTTCACTCAAGGGGGAACAGTGACAAGGCACACGCGGCTGAATCCAGTATGTTTATGGGAACGTTTCTCCTCCTGTGAACTCTTATAGACCTTTTAAAACTGAAAAATTACATTGTAATTAGCGTTCTAAGATAAGATTTGCCTCAATAAGCCCTGTGTTCAACCAGAATATTTCAAGTTAAAACAACTACAAAATTATTAATGGCAAGAAATTAAAAATGTGTGCATATATATTAACTACTATACACACACATTTGAATTCCAATGTGCATATTCTCAAATATTTTTAAATAGCTGCATTATAAATAAGGAATTTTTGTGTATACTGTTTATATCATTTTCTTAAAAAGAATTATTTGTATCTCAATCATTGAAATATTTGCTTCCATCGCATATGACTTTATAGGCTGTCTTCTACATAAGCATATGTGCCCAACTTTTCTTTCTTTCCCAACCATTAGAATTGGATTCAAACCATAATGAAGTTCTAGAACTTACCTGACAATTCTAAATAGATTCAAGAATCACTGTATAAGCAAGAAAGCTAAGGGTGTATAAAACTTCTCTAACCCTTCCAAAAGTTTTTCCATGGAATTTACCTGGAGAGCCCATCCAACTCGCAGTGGCTATATTAGGGAATCAAGTAGGCTGCTTCTCTTATTCTAGAATAAATTCTTATTCTATTGATGTATTCTAATAACTTTTATCTTAATTTGGAATTATAAGTGCTTATATATTTATGTATCCCTAAGACATGAATACATGTATTAGATTATGAATACCCTGGATCTCACGGAAAGTAAAGAAAATTTAAAAAATAAAATAAAATAAAATAAAAAAACAAGAAATGATCCAAATGTTTAACAGAAGAGAGCAAGCTGTTCACTACTTTAGTACTCAGTGCAATTTAAGTAGTTATAATAATTGAAATAAATTTAGATGTATCTTATATGCTATACATCCATTTTTCTGAACATTTTTTATTTCACTTTTTAAAATATGCTTTTCTATTTCTCTCAATACAACATACTTCAACCTGCTGGTTACTTGGGAGGACTGAATATGATATTGGCAGCTAATATCCTTTCATCTGCAAAGTACACATTCCATGAAATGGACATGAGAGAATACGAGAAACCTGCTAAAATTGAAATAGAAATTCTTGCAGTATTTTATAATGGAAAAGAGGCAAACTAACAACACTGGGATTCACAGCTGTCCCATAAAAATTTAGAACACTCTAAGATCAAAACTCTGAGAACAAAAATGTGTTTAATGATCTTGAGACAGATATCCTTAACAATCTTTGAAGTCATATCTCCTACTCCAAAAGCAATTCCACACACTTGCAACATAGATAATAGCATTAACTCTCAAAATGTATCAGTATATACCACCTGTATTTTTCATCTAGTTAATATTGAATTACCAAAAATAGCAAGCCATTCCAAATTTAAGACAATCCGGTGTTCTTTAATACAATATATTAGAAGACAGAGTGTATATGGTCACACAGATTCCCTCTTGCAAATAAAATACCCATAATACCCATTGCATTTTGTTCCTGTGTAAGAGACATCTTCCTCAGCAGATATTGGTTTTTATTTTCTTATTTGTGTACTACAGTGCTAAACAGAGCCATTGCATTTTTATTGTTATGTAAACCTTGCATGAATAAAAAAGCAGCGTACACTGTAAATTGCATTAATTTAATTAACTTTAAAATTAAACTTTATCTCAGCCCCCACTCCTCTTTAAAAACAGACTGATATTAAAATGTGAACTTCCAAAGGGAGACACCTGGTACTCCAATTACTTAAAAAGTACAGTGATGCATATTCCTCCACAACAAAGATACTTACAGGCCATGTGTAAAATATAACTCTCTACAATTTAAAAGTAACTAGGGCAGGGAAAAATATCCTGGGGAAGCTTCTCCCAGATATGAGGCCAAGAGATGTAATCCCAAGTTAGTAGCTAGGACCTACTTACCTGTTTTTTGTTTTTTTCGTTTTGGTCTACATTTTACTTTTTTTTTTTTTTTTTTTTTTTTTGAGACGGGGTTTTGCTCTTGTTACCCAGGCTGGAGTGCAATGGCGCGATCTCGGCTCACCGCAACCTCTGCCTCCTGGGCTCAGGCAATTCTCCTGCCTCAGCCTCCTGAGTAGCTGGGATTACAGGCACGCGCCACCATGCCCAGCTAATTTTTTGTATTTTTAGTAGAGATGGGGTTTCACTATGTTGACCAGGATGGTCTCGATCTCTTGACCTCATGATCCACCCGCCTTGGCCTCCCAAAGTGCTGGGATTACAGGCTTGAGCCACCGCGCCCGGCCCATTTTACATCTTAATAATGCTTTCATCTCTTCATTTTCCCTCTCTTATACACACACACACACACACACACACACACACACACACGTTTACATGTTGATAATGAGATGAATTCCTTCAAATTAAAAATAAAAAGGCAGCCAATTTTCCTGGAAAAAGGTCCATAAGCCTGTGATATGTTTTGCAATATTAAGTGATTAATGGTGGAAAATATGAACCACGTGGTCATTCAATTTGGCCATCTCTTAATTATGCAACAATTTTTTGCCTCAAAAACACATAAACAAAACTAACTGAATCAAGTCTTTAACCCTTAACAAGTAAAGTCTAAAATATTATTTCCACTATTTTTGAAGAACAACAAAATAATTGTCAAAAACCTTTTTCAAATGACGGCTAGTAATATTGGATGACTTTGTAGTGTCTGAATGGGTAGTTTTTGCACTACTTTTTAGAGTTAACACACATTAAGGTGATGGAGTATTATTTTTCCAAAGTGATTCTGAATTCTGGCTATGCATTGGAATTCCTTAGACATTTTAAAAATATATCCATATGCTTGATGTCCAATGTAG